ATTACCATTAGCTCATTAGCTAATGGCAATGCACCAGTTAATGAAATCATCTCACTACCAGCTCTCTAATCAGAATGGGGGAGAAGGCACCGCCTTCACGCCAAGCATGTGTCCTTTTTACTTGTGGTTTAAACATTTCTATGAAAACAGTTTCTCAGCCTTTGGATCTTTCTTGTAGGAGCTGCCTGAACACATGCAGAGGCATGTGGCGAGTGACAGTAAGGTGCAGCCTTGACCGGAGAGGAGGTCAAGCGAAGCAGCAGAAGACGCTTGAGTTTCATCCATTACAACATTTTCTTTTTGTTTCCAATTGTTTCAGGATCAGTGATGTCTGGTTGGGCTACTTTTTCTTGAACTGGTCTGAAAAAAATTATTTGGACAGGTATAATCTAGGCAACTTTTTATACAAGCCGGTTTACATCTATGAAAAGTTAGACTGTATTAATTAATAAGTTTAAACTGTAAGGTAGAGACGTGAGGCAAAGATGCGGAGTGAGGTGAGAGGGACAGGCGCATGAAGAACAGCTGGAAGTTAATTGTTGTACTTGATCAGCAGTGGCAGTTATGGTAGGCCACTTTAAAACCCTTACTGCCTGATTGCTGCAGTTTGTCCAAACACACAAACATCATACACACATTTTCAGATACATTGTGACTTCTGCTTTTCAAGGATATATGTTCCAAACAAGGTGCTCATTTCAAACTCCAGATCTTGCCTGTTAAACGTGACATTTTAAGCATTTATACAGTATCAAAGTAATGCTGGGTGAGCACTGTTCTGATGTACATACAAGATGTTAATAGTCAGTCTTACAGTTTAAGAGGATTATTTTCATTACTTGCAGCCATCTGATATCATCCATTTGCACACCCATGAGTCACTGTAAACATAACGGGAAGGTGAGGGCTTCGTCTTTGTGAAATGTGTGGCTGTTTGAGGATTTTTGAGTCCCTTGCTAAGTTTTTGAGGAATTCACTACTGAAATCGTCATCATTTCATTTTCCCATGGACAAGCTGTCAGGAGACAGTTCAACACCTGATTGTATTAGTGTATATAATAGTTTTGCCTGCATTTAAATCATTTTTCTTTTTTTTAATCAGAATTTGAGAGTTCATATTTTTCATCCTACATTGCCATTGCTTGTTATCTTTCTGAACTTCACAACTTTGAACCGCTGTATCTTTAATTTCTTTCTGATTCAGACTTTTCTCCCACCACAGTTTAACACTTGTTCATGTGATGACATTTTCTTTTTCTTAATTTTTGTGTGATATACTGTGCAATATGTGTTTCATTTGTAATTATTACTTATTGTATGTGCACAGCAATAAAAAGGCAAATAGAATTTAGCGTTCACCTCCAATATATTTAAAAAAAACAATACATTAAATATTTGTATATAGATTTGTCCGACAAAATTCATTATGTTTAATAAAGTGTAGGTAAAGAGAAAATTGAGCAGTTATCCAGGAGAGTTAAGTCATGGTGAAGTCTGTGACAGGCGAGTCTCCAACTGTCTGCAGCTGCTCCAGGGGTCAAAAAGCGACTTAAGAGTACAGTGTCAGCTGAAGCCACTGGAAATGGAACAAGAGAAGTGAGAGGCTTGAGATTAATCTGACAGGGTGAGCTATAGCTACCAGTACTACTTCCTCCAAGAATGAACCTTGATGCACCTTCATCACAAGCATGTCTCAGTGGTTTAACTAATACTGCATGTATGTAATAAAACATAAGCATGCACTTAAATGTATGACACACAGTAGCACTTTCTAAAGGTCAAAATACTAAAAGTGGCCTTGCCTCCAGGACATTGAGCTTTATTATTCCATCTCCGTCTTTGTCAAAGGCGTTGAAAGCTCCTGCAAGAGACAATTGATCAATAGTCTTCATCACTCTCTTTATATTGACCTTCACACAGTTGGGAAAGGCTGTAATTGCTATGTAAATTTAGACCTGCATAAGACATTAAAAAAGTCATTTTTAGTTTTAGACAAAAACACAGGTTAAATTAATATTGCTGACCTGTTGCATTTATAGCATTAATCAGCTGTGTAAGATATTTTTGGTGTTAATACACAGTACCAGGATGTTTATATTTTTGGGTTAATTTCAATTGCACAAGCTCAGGTGTGGTGTGTACTTACTGAACATGCCCTCTAGCCTCACTAAACAGCAGATGTAACTGTCAAAGTCGATGTTGAGGTGTTCATCTGCATAGCGCATGGCTATGATGTCATACAACTGTTTGTTGAGTTGAAACCCTACATGAGGAGATGATGAAACAGATAATATTGTAGTTTTTAACATGAGGCTGTAGAGTATGGATGTGACCTCTGACAAAGGCTAATAAAAAAAAAATTAACCATTTTATCATTATATAGTGGACCCCTTCGGGGAGTCGACCCGCAGGTTGGTTGACTACACTCACTGTCCTTAACCCTCAGAGAATCTTCAAAAACACTGTACACTGGTTACCCTCAGGACAAATTTGTCCTATGGCTCACATAAGGGTGTAAAATTATTATAAATTCATAATTTTTTCCACTTTAAATGAGCCAATCATTTAAAACTACTCCTGCCTGAAATATACATATTAAACATGAATTATATTTTTGGAATTTTTAACCCTTTCTATGCCAGTATGTTTACATAACTCCATTGTTTTTTATGGAAAAAAAACAAACTAAGATATTTTCCAAAAAATACATTTCAACCAGTATTTGATTATTATTATTATTACTACTAGGCCCTGAGATGGGTCAATGGTTGGTAGCAACACTGATTTGGATGCATTTTTTAATTTTATGCAGTAGCAGAATTACAATATCACTGTACACTGATTACCCTCGGGACAAATTTGTCCCACTTCCCAAAAACAACTGTAAAAATATATATTATTATTACCCTGTTGTGTTCTAAAAATAAATTTCAAATGCAAGATCAGTTTGAACCAGAAAACACTTATTTTACAAAGATGAACACTAAATATTGAACACTAACACCTCACTCTCCTGCTCCTGAGCAGGGGCTGCAGATCCACATGCTGTAGTCCTTGCACAGGTTCCTCTCACATTTGCAGCATACATGTCCTGCTTTTCTCTTGTCTTTACAAAAGAAACATGGCTTTCTGCCCTTGGTTTGCTGTGAGAAGGGCCTGCAGCAGCAGCAACACCCTGAAGGTCGGTCACCACATAGTGTTTTTAATGGGTTTAAATGGGGACAAATTTGTCCCGAAGATCAAAAGTGTGAGTATTTTTGTAGTTTTGTCATTTTAGGCTAATTTAAGGAAGTGAGACCACAATTTTTAAGTTTTAAAACAATAAATATCCTGTAGTAAATTTGAGCTACATTCATTCAGCACAGCTAAAATGGCTTGGAAAAAAAACAACGCAAAACCCAAATTTGTCCCTGAAAAACTCCTGAGGGTTCTGCAGCCAACCTACCATTACCGGTTTCCCCTGACTATTACAATTTATAATATTAGGGTGGGAAGCACAAAAGCACGGACTTTAAAGATAAAGTGCAAAGCCTGAGAGGAGAAGCCACTGACTGGTTAAAACTTTAAAGGTATTTCCATCAGGGTTCTCACCTGCATCACTAACAGCATTCCTCATCTCAAAACTACTGATCGAGCTGGATTTGTCTTTATTGAAACGTTTGAAGATCAGCTGCAAACATGTGAGGAGACAGTCAGATAAAAAAAATGTATAGATTAGATAAATATGAGAATTAGGGTGGCTACAATCACCTCCCCTGCCACTCCTTGATCTTTCTCCACAAGTGTTTGAACTCCTGCAGGTTCAGCTTACCCGAGCCATCGGTCTGAGAACGGCTCAGTTATGGCAATAATAAATAAGAATAAAAAAATAAAAAATAAATGTAAAAAAAAAACGGATCACTTTTTACTTACTGATATTTTTGGCTAAACTTACAGTACTCTACAGGTTTGTCAATACAATTAGAATTGTAATTAAGTAATAGATTTGTTGTCTCTTGGTTATCAGAGTAGAGAAATGAGAAACTGGACATCAAATTTTAACTTTCCTATAATTTTACAATTTGATGCAGAGATTCAACCCAACGCCCTGTTAATACTTCTTTTATAGCCAACAGGAGGCTGCTCTGTTGAGGATACATCCATCAAGGCGATTATACTCCGACACGTCTCAAGGCTGAAACCTTCTTTAATCTTGATTTCACTATCTGTGGGAAAGGATAACTTAGTGTGAGTGATTATCGTGTGATACAGGCTGAAATAATGACGTTTTCAGTTCACTCACGTTTGGTGAGTACATTCTTTATGATGGTCTTGAGTTCACTGGCGCAGATCTCCATGTCCTGATGGAGGGAGGAAGCATGTATTTCATTTGAGATCAAATAAAGTGCATTATGTTTGCAGTGGGTTGTCCTCTGTCTCGCTGGTACTCACCTCACCAGCAATCTGCTGGTAAATGGCTCTGAACTGTTTTTCCTCCTCAGTCTCTTCCTGGGACACTTTTTGCTGAAGGGCAGATAAGAAGATTAGTCATTTATAATTAGAGTTATTGGCAGAGGAAATACATTTATTTATGATGAATGTGTGAAATTTGCTAGTTAGTATTTTCAAGGTATAGTGAAGCATTCTGAAGGTAAATTCCTAGATGCTGTAAAGGGCATTAAAGCTAGTTAGCTTTATCTTTTGCTGCTTATTTTCTTCATTATGATTCCCTACCACTAACTATGACTTAAAATATATCTTTGAATTACACACAAGCTTTTATACCTTCAATTTGTTCCATCGCTGCATGTTATGATATATTATCACTGGATCCATTTCATGTTAGTACCAGAGGAGAGCAGTGCAAAAGAAAAAGACCATAAAGACAGCTAACCCTGAAGTCGTACAAGCAAACAGGTGCAGTCGTGCCACTTGAGATTATTTGGCTTCAAACTCAGTTGTTTTATTCCAAGTAATGTTATCTGACCTAGTCAAGATTATGTGTCAGAGTTGCCATTCTCTAGAAATTACAGCATGGCAAAGATCAGTACTGGTGTTAGGGTTCAGCAATCTGACACTCTGCTGTAGGGAGGTTACCTTTAGCTTCTTCCTCGTTTCCCCCAGAATGCTGTCATGCTCGATTTCTTTGTTGGCATGTGCTCTGTCTGACACAAATACAATAGGCTGGCATGTGGGTAATGGCAATGGTTGGCAAAAGGGGAGAAGAATTATAAAGACAAACAGAAAAGAAGAGAATTAATTTACAGTTTTTTCTACTGCCTATGAACTGTTCATTCAGTTTTGGCACAATCTATAACTACCAACACTGCAAAGCAGAGACAGAAGCAGTGGGTAAAGTTTAAAAGCAATCTACTTGCGCTGCTGCCAGTGCATACGATACCTTTTCTTTCTTTTTCTTGTCTTGCTGATGGCCAATAAGACAAGGAAGGACAGAAGGATGAAATGAGATGAAAGAGAGGAAACGCTTGGATATTCAAGTGTGTTAGTAACTAGTGGGAAAAGAGCTGATGAAATATGTAGAGTACACAAATTAAATTAACAATATATCAAATTCAAACTGATATTAGTGCCAAAGTGTGTTGCAAACCCAGTACACTGGCTAGAGAAATGTGCACTGCTGGTGGACCATGCATAGGTATATTGGTGTTATCTGTGCAACACTTCATCAAGGACACAGGGTTTTCTACTTCTGTCTCATTTCTCTCTGTGTATTTTGGAGATGCCCACATCTCTGGGTTAAACTAACATCAATCCTTGATCCCGACCTCCTAAAAACAGTTATGCAATGTTGGCTTCAGACCAACCCCTCTACAATGAACCTCTTCATAGACACTTTCAGCTATCTGTGCTCCACTTTCAAGGAACGGACACTGATAAGTGGTTTTTAACTGGCCACTGGAAGTTATTCAAAGCATACTAAAAAAAAAAAAAATAGAAAGTCAACTCACTCCTCTGTTTTGAATCATTTATCAACAGCAATATCAGCCATAATTCTTCAAATATATTGTGACCCACCCACCCACACACACACTTATTCAGTCATGTTACAGACCTGTGGCTGGGCAATCCCGATTGTAGTCTCCATTTCCCTGTGAGAAAAATAGACACATTAGCATCCCTGCCAGTCATTCTTAACTGACTTCATTTAAAGGCTTCAATATATTTTATGATTCTACTATCAACAACCCCCAAAATAATATCAGCTGCACCACTAAATATAGCCATTGCCGCGCCCTCAGCGATTCTTACTCGGACACGCTTTGCTTCTCAGAGAACACCCTGAGGATGAACTCTCCCTCTTCGTGGGGTTCAAAGGTTGTGGGGATGATGACGTACTGTCCTGGGGGCAGGCGGAAACGCTCCGTTACCTCCCGTAGGTTAATGTAGGTCTTGCATTTAGCTTTGGAGGCTGTATACAGAAAGAAGTCCTTCTGCATATGCTGATTCACTCCCCACATCTACAGATGGAAAATAAGCAGTCATTGTGTAGCAGCTGAGATCTTAAGGATGCTGAGATGAAAATCAGCTATTCAACAAAGAAACTATGGGAAATAAATGTGCTAAAAACAGGAAACAGGGACTTCATCATAATAACATTCTTCGAGAGAGAGGCATACCTCCTTTGGGACCTGCAGAGACACAAAAGTTAAAGTTCAACTCAAGTGAATGGACATCAGCTTATTGGTGCCAGAGATAACGTGAAGGTCATAAGGTCACTACCTCGTAGATGGAAAATCCAATTGTGAGGAATTTGGCCCCCTGATAACGCTGCATCCTTCGACCTTTTTGCATCAGAGCCACAACCACAGTGCAGACCACCTCCCCATCCTCTGGGTCATCATCCTCCTCATACAGCTCCAGCCAATACTGAGGGTTCGTCCAAAATGTGTCTGTAAAACACAAAAGCTAAATCTGCAACAGGTGGTCATATGATAGTAGTCTGAATAAAGTTACAGAGATACTGGGGACAAAAAGTGGTTTACCAATGTTGGCTTCTAAAGGCATAAAGCTGCCATAATTGTTAAAGAGTTACTGCCTACCTGGGAAGTTTCTGCAGCCACCAGCGGAGCTGCCTCTCACCCAGCGACCCTCATGGACCGATACTGTCCAGCTGTGTCTTTCATCACCCTGCAGCGTGTCGGGGGTCAGGTTGCACATCTCCAGTTTAGTGAAGTTCCTCTTAAAATCCTCAAAAGACATCCTAGACAGGAACACGAAAGAGGAAGCTTGTAGGAGACAAACTCTGGGAAGAGAGTTATCTGTCCTCTTGCTCTTCTTGAGGTGTGTCTCATTTTGTCCCTGTTAAAGCGATTTTTGGAGGACAGATGTCCAAATGAAGGATATAAGGATCGGGACTGTCGTATGCTGTTCAGATTGTAAACTGACTTGGATCCAGACTAAAGAGTAAAACACTAGTGGCCCTTCAAGGTCATACATGAATAGACATCACACAATCAAGTAAAAATGTTAAAGAGGTGAAAAATTGAGACACATTTCTTCTTTGGAGGTCTTTACTAGTCTTAAATGTGCAGTGTCAGAGGGTGACTGCAGAGGGCAGCTTGTTATGTTCAGTTCCAGCCTAATCACTCTGTGCTGTGTCAGCCAACATGTCACTGGAAGGAAGTACAACAGCGGTGACAATATAAACTTAATATTTTATTCTGAAACAAACGTATCACATAAGGATTTTAGTACATGTGTTAAAATGACAATATCTATATAGTTAACTAATGTTTAGCATGTTAGCATTCTATTGTAGAGTTAAAAGTCGAGCTAATTGTGATGGTCACTGGTTTGAGGGTTTCTAATTGTATTGAACAAATGGAAACTTTGACCTTGTGGTAGCTGAACTGAAAATGAACTTCATAGTAGACATTTCCCTCTGGTCTAAAGTGCTGAACAAGCCAAAATTAAAAATGTGATGAAATAAAAGTCACACTGATTTCTCTTACCAGAACTCGCTTGACACTAAAGTCTGCTTTTTTAGGTTCTCCCTGTCTGCGATGGAAATGGTCGACCACTCCTTTGAACTATGGAATGATAAATAGTAAAGCGTTACATATGGCTACTGAGTATTTGCAGAGTTAATCAGTGACACCTAGGTCATATAGGCTAGTGTTTACAAATATAAATGATAGCACCATTATCAAGTTATCAGTCCATCACAATACAATTTAGTATGTTACCATGACAAGTGTTCCAGGTCAAACTTACTTTGCACTCCAGGGTCCCTTCCACAGCACCCATCCCCAGGGATTACGCAAGCGAATTAGACGAATCCTGGTGTCCTTTGCAACCCCATCGCACTAGGAACAACACTTCATTAGCAGTGCTGGAAAATCTCTAGTCTTACAAAGAATACCAAATCTGCATTTACTGTAAATGGACATTTCACTGTACCTCCTCCAAGGCGATGATGGAATAAGCATGACCTTTCACCAGCCCGTGGCGAGTCTGAGATTCCATTTCACTGGCTGAAAAAATCTGAGATTCAAGACTTGTCAGTGCAGTGCAGTGGGTTTTGGGATGATAAATCTTGCTAAATTGTAATTTATTCTAGATTTGCTGCCTAAAATCACACTTGCTGCTATAGTTCAGCTGCTCATATTTTGGCAAAATTATTGAAACACTGATTTGCATCAAAAGTAAAAAAAATGTCCAGCTTTATGCCCATTGTTTGGTTCTGCATGTTTGTTGTCTTTTTGCTGTCTTTGGGGTCTTTTCTGTTTTTTTAGATATTTTGTGGCATTTCTAGTAGTTCTGCATCTCTTTGTAGTTGTTTTCCATCTATTTTCTTCTAATTTTGTGGCTTTTGTTCTCATTCTGTATTAATTGATGGGCCTTCCAACAGAAAGATTAACAGTTTCCTCTAGGTTCTGTGGTCTGGGGCCCCTGACCCCTTGGTTTTCTGTGCATTTTATTGTTTTCACTACAACTCACATCTATGGCGCAGCCCATCAGTGATCCTCTCTCCAGCGCCTTCCTCATGATGTTGTAGAGCTCACCAGGGGCTTCAGACAACTCAAAGTATTCTGTAACTCCACCTGTGAAATCCTCCATGGCTTCCAAAGTGTTTCCACCTTTCAGGGCCTCATAAGACCCGTGCAACCTGAGAGAGATGCCAATCATGCTGGTGACTGTCCATTCTCCAAGGCTTGGATTTTTCACAGTCTGCAGCCAGTTTGGGAAACATGTGAACACTGGGGATGTGTGCCTACTTAGTGTGGCTACACTACAAAAAATATGTAGCTTAGTAAGATATTTGGTTCAGATTTGGTCCTAAAAATTTGTTCAGGAAACGTAATGCCAATGAAGTGAGAGATCAGTGGTTTTGGGTGACAAAGTGTCTAAAACCAACTGACATTATCCTGATGCCTGTGGAATAATTTTTCTTAATATTCAATACTGTCAATTATACTGATTAAAAACATTTCAAAACAAATGAATCAAACTTTGAAAACACCTGAAATTATTTCATGTGCCGAGGTTTTGCCTTTCTAGCAAGTTCTAGCAAGGAAGCCAGAACCGCAGGCTCAGCACCAAATAAAATGACAAGCATTTGGCATCGGATAGAGGGAAATCTGAACCCAGAATGATTGAATTAACAGCAACACATGGGCTGCGAATAGGTGGACAGCTGCACGCTTCCTCTTTGCAGTGGGAATTTAGTCTCTGCTTACTTTGCATAAGCTTTTTCCAAAAGGGCGCTCCAGAACTCATTTATTCTGAATGATTTGGTGAACATCAGCTGGTTGTTGCAGGTGGGAATGCGGTCGTCCACAACCACATCAATCCATTCACCATAACGCCAGAACTGAAAACAGGAAAACAGAACAGAGTGAATAAGTGGAGAACAAAATATTACCATACAATTACTATACATATTCTATACAGTTACTCTGTATTTTCCTCTCTTGAAGATATGTCTGAGGCTATTACTGATATTAATATTGGAGAGATTTTAATCAAATATGACATTATATACAGTATGGACAGATACTATATATACTTAAACATTTCTGGGAGAGAATCCTTACATTTGGATTTGAACTAATTGTGAGTATCTACTAAACACTGAATAAGATTACTCTATGTGATTCCAGTGTAACCAAATCTAAACTGTTTATTGTATGATTGCATCAAAAGAGCAATATGATTTTTCAAGAACATAAAATCAGAGTTTGTTTCACAATATGAGGTGTTAATTTGAAACCTGGAAATGAAAGATGCCGGCATAGTTCTCGGTGAAGCTCTGATCCTGGGGAATTACTCTGTACAGCAGCTTCTCGTTCAGTGTCAGACAGGCGATGGCAGCGAGCAGCCAGCAGTCGCCTGTCAACAACAGATTCATGAGCTATAAAACACTGACCCAAGCATTCTGCATAAAGTGATACCACTGTCACAGATTAAAACCAGGTATACATTTCATATACAACATTTATTGTTTCTTTTTATGATATACTTATTTCTATTCTAGTACTTGGATCCTGGCCACAGCCACTCTTAGTCAGTTATATACTGTACTGTATTCCCAAGCAACCTAGTGAGTTGGAAAACCACTTTTTTTGAAAGCAGAAACAATATTAATATTACCCAATTCTCCTTGACAGATGTCTGTCCTGTTGGCTCCATCCACAATGAACTGGGGGTTTTCACAAATTTCCTGTCATAGAAAAAAAAAGAGTGTGTTAGGGGACTTTTCTCTGTGTGTTGCAAAATACTGTATATGCATAAAGTTTAGAGAGAGTTTAAGTAGATGTTAAGATTTTTATTTAAGCAAAGTTCTTGTGCAGTTGTTTGTGTTTCTGCAACATTTGACATATGAGAAACTCAGACCCAGACACCAGAAGCCACTTGGAGAACTTTCTCTGGCTGGAGTGGACCTGACTGGGAATCTCCCTTTGTATTTTCTTCATATTTATGAGAAAGTAGTTGTTATAAGTGTTACAAAGCTAAAAAGGTTGGGAACTACTCTGATTTAACTAAAAAAACACAATTAAAAAATCTAAAATCATGCAGCATTTTCTCACTTTTGAAATATACCAAGAATACAGTTTTCATAGACTAGAACAGAGATAAAGATAGCAGAGAATTTATTTAGTAAATTCACTCGACTCTCTTCATTACATGACTGATCAACACTAAGCCTGTAAAAATGCCTCCTCATGTTCCGAATATAGAGTGTACTTAACTGCTAACCCCTGGATGGGATTCATGTAACACTAGCTGCATTTGTGATCTGCCATTAAGCAGAAATCATGCTTCAGTTTTGTATTGCTCTCGATTTCTACAAAGCAGACATGAGGAAAAATAGTCACTTTTGTTTCTTTTTATTAGTAAGCAAGAAAATAATTCATTTATGAAAAAAATCCATGAATTCACATACACTGTGAGTCAAGGACATGTGTCTCTTCATGCCAAATTATGTCAGAAAAATATGAAGCCCTGGAGCCAGCACCCAGTTATCTTTATGTTTCTTAGCATCCCCTCTTGTGAGGGCCAGCTGTCTGTTATCATAGAAGGTGGTAATCCAGTGGGGAGTATGGAGCCATATCAACTGGAGACCCTACCAATGTGTTGTGGAGGAAGTGATTAGATATATCAGGACTTTAGAGAAGAGCTTTGTCAACATATTAGTGCCACTTTCACATGTGTAAGTGTAACTTGACCTAAAGCAAATGAAGACTGAAGACCGGCACTCACCGAGGGACGCTTCCACTCAATCTTCATTGAAGGTTTCTGACTGTAGAAGAGTGAGGAGTCATTTGCAGGAAACAGGGGATCTTCAAACAAAACCTTCTTCGTCACATATTTGTCTCGCAGTTCCAAAAAAGTCTTAAGACGCTTGGCATCCTTGACGGCCTCATTTCTGCTCAGAATTGCAGAGTAGATCGAGTTTGGAGCGTAATCACCGGGGCTGAATGATGTTTGGGTTTCATAAAGCACTTTCACCCTTGTATTTTCCAAAAGAGGCACTCTCCCTTCATGTTTGTTGTCGCCCATCTTGTCAGTGTCTTTCTCAGTCTGGGGAGCTTAAAAAGTGAAAAAACTGAACCCTGGAGTCTTTCCTTGTTTGCAAAACCAGAGCATGAACTTGCAAAACTTCCTCTGTTCTCCTTGACTCTGAGGTTCACTTTTAGTTCCTTTATTTGATGAAAAATACAGTTACTGCTCATGAACAATCCCCAACCACACTCTCACACCAACATATGCAGCTACTGTTGTGTCCCAGGAGCTGGCTGCACCTAAATATAGGTCTCTTTAAAGAAGGGGTGGAGGCTTCTCGAAGAGAGACTCTGGCCATGTTTCAGGTTACAGTATACTGTTCAATTGGGCTGTCCAAAATCTGTATCATAGGTCCACTAGAATAGAATACACAAATTGTTGTAGGGATATTTTATATTGTGAAAATACTGCTATGTAGGTCAATAAAGGCTAGTGAAGAAGTGTCAAATATCTCTCTATAGCTGAATAAATGACTGTTACACTAACCCCTGATTAGGCCAGGGCTTTAGCTACCATTGAGAACTCTGTGATCATTGTGTCAGTGGGCTAAATTCTATAATTGCACACATATAACTTGTTTTGCTTTCATATAATTAAAAAATATTTAAAAAATGGACTGCAGATGAAAAAAATGAATAAGTTAAACATAAGGGGTTTTGTATTCTCTTTTGGAATAACATGCATGGCAACATAGAGAGGACACAAACATTTAGTTTGATTAAAAAAAACTACAGAAAAATAAAACTGAGAGGTTATATAGTTTGACTGGTGGCTTTTTAGATGGGTAGGGTTCTGCTTCAAGAGTTTGAAGTCAGTATTTCTAAAATCTACTAAAGTCTAAAATGTTGTCTTATATGACACCTAGTGGTAAAACATTTAACATTCAGTGCCCTGTTGAGGCTGACATCACAACCCAGGATTCATTTGGCCTAGTTCTCTGTCATTCTTCATATCAAATAGGAAAGGGTGGCTGCTTAGCACATGGTTGCCAGGTATAAGGGAAACCGACATTCTTATTTCAATTTCAGGCAAAATGAATGAGATGATGAAGATGGTGTTAGGTTTATTCGTGTTATATGGTAAACTACTCCTTTATGTCTTGTCAGTGATAGCCATATGGAAGCCCATACTAGGAAAAGACAAACAAACAAAAAAACAATAGATGGAAAGTTAAAATTTTGGACTTCTACATCAAAAGCCCACATCCAGAGCAGTATACCGGACCCCCTGGACCCCCTGCAGTATGCCTACCGGCCCAATAGGGCCACCTCAGTCTCAGCCTAAGCCACTATTCCCTTTCTCACATGGAAAATGGAGACTCCTACATCAGGATACTCTTCATTGACTACAGCTCCGCTTTCAACACAGTTGTCCCCCACAAACTGCCCACACTAGGTCTGCACCCCACCCTCTGTGACTGGCTCCTGGACTTTCTGACTGACAGGGCCCAGACTGTCAAGATTGGCAATAGGACTTCAGCCAGCATTATCATGAACATCGGCACCCCACGGGGATGTGTCCTCAGTCCCATTGTCTACACCCTGTTCACCCAACTCTGTGCTGCCTCCCACAAAGACAACATCATCCTAAAGTTTGCGGATGACACCATAGTGATAGGTCGGGTGAGCAGCTTCAAATACCTGGGCGTCCACATCAGTGAGGACCTCACTTGGACACTTAACACCACACAGCTGGTCAAGATGGCCCAATGGCGGCTGGGCATTTCCCCTAGGATCCTTTGCAGCTTCTACAGCTGCATCGTCGAGAGCATCTTGACCAGCTGCATCACTGTCTGGTATGGCAGACATTTTCAGTAACATTTTATGCTTACATGATCAGATGATTTATCAGATAATATAGACACATACACAGATAATATAGACACATACACAGTGAACCTGGGATGTGATGTAATGTACAATCCATATTATATCAGAAAATAGTGATAAAATATTTATGTCTAAATACCATAACAGCACCCCTTCCAGAATGCTTTGGAAATACTTGATGTGCTTCTATAGTAATTTATTGTCTTTACACCAAATGTACAATGTTGTTGCTTCAGTGATTTGAACATCGCTAAAGGGGGATACAACAAGCTGTATTTGGCAACCTTTCTCAGCTCTGACGTTACGCAGCTCTTTTAGAGCAGTGTGAGTTTGGCAGTTGTCGTGAACGTATCTGGCTAAATATTAACTTGAGTTAAGTTAGTCCGTCGATATAAAGTTACTCATATTATTAACTTTGTTTTTGTTTCTATGAACTGTTATGGTGTTATTAATCAGTGAATGGGTGTAGTACTGTTGCAGTTTATTGTATTGTGTTGACATTAACAGAACTGGAGTCTTGAGACGCAGTAAGGGGCGGTGGGCTGCTACAGCTGTTGCTAGCTAGCAGAGAACCAACCAGCTAGCTAGCTAGCTAACCTAGCAAAACATCGAGCGGCATTCAAAGTGAATAAAGCCACGCCTGTGAACGTCGTTGGCTAAAGCAGTTTCCGCTGCTATCTCTGTTGAGTTAGCAACATAACAGAACATAGCGTAGCTAAAACGCTAGCTTGGCTGCAACTCCGCCGAGAAACCAACAAGACTGATATCTAACAAAGCTAAATAACCAGCTGGGATTGGTCTTCCACGGTGGGAGTTTGTTAAACTGGAGCTGGCATCGTCACAATTACAATCTTTAACACGTATGTCCAACCATGTATGATACTTTTCCTCTTATTTGTGTTAAGCTAATGTTTATTATGGCCTTCCCGAAAAGCTAAATCGGCCAATGGTAACCCAACTTATTTGTCAGTCTCAGCGGTCTACAGCAACTATGTTAGCAAGCTAGAACTCACAAATGCATACATACAGACATTTGTTGTCATGCTAGTTTTAAAATGTGATCTACTTTCCAAGTTTTGTATTTTACTTCGTCAGCCGTTAACAGATTGTTGCCGTGTTGTGGACTAACATTATGATGCTGATGGTGTGTTTGATTATTTCCGTCATGCAGCAGGCTGCTGGGCCTGATAACCAAGAGGATGTCTGAGGGAGAGAACAAGCAGGCCCTGGACACTGTCCAGGAGGCGAGGCCGGAGACGATGGCAGCTGCACCCACAGGTCAAGGAGTGCCATCGGTGTCTCCCCCTGTGTCTGTGGTGACCCAGCCTCCAGCTACTGCTGCCACCGAGGACGAGGAAGAGGAGAGTGAGGATGAGTCTGAGATTTTGGAGGAAAGCCCATGCGGACGCTGGCAGAAACGCAGAGAAGAGGTAGGTTTCAGATTTATCTGTGTCATTGTAGCCACATACCTGAATAAAAAGATGTTACTTTTAGGACAGTGGTTCAAAATGCCAAGGTTAAGAACATGTCATAGCTTCCATGACCTGTAAAATGTGTCTAGCAGTGAACTCTGTATCAAGTTTGTTATTTAGATGCGATGAAGATGAGTAGAGTAGAGTAGAGTAGGTACTTTATTGATCCCACAGTGGGGAAATTTCTGTGTTACAGCAGCAGCTATAGAGAACAACCAACATAACACCATAAGAACAGACACCACCATAAGAACAGGACTTCATAAAAACACGGAAGAGAACACAACGAGGACACAGCTGCTGTAACTTGCTGTCACTCCGTGCAGCACAACAAAGAACACTTAGTCTTAAAAATAAACGGTTACATAAAGGCAACAAAGCATTAGAACCAATACAAGTAGCGTCATCGGAACGTTACATTTTACACAGCACAAATAAGCAAATCAAAGGCATCTAAAAACAGGGCAGAGCAGCACTAGAGAGAATCAGGAACAGCAGTAGAGACTAAACAACCAGGAAATCAAGAACAATCGAATATTACTCACACAATTAATCCCACAATGGGGGAGAGAAACCTGTGTTTCAGCCATAAGTATCTCTGAGCAACTACTCAAATACCTAAAGCAGGGCAATGTACAGTATTTTAGAGAGATCAGGAACAAGATATTACACATGAGCCTATTTACAATGCATTTCACCCCCAGGAGCTGAATATTGCACCTCAGTAGATTATTACTTAGTCCCTCATAATTTCACCAAGCTTATCACTGCAGTGATGTGTTGTACGATCTGATTGCTGTAGGGAGGAAAAGTTCCTTCTTACACTGGGGATGTAACAGTCTCGTGCTAAAAGAACTGTTCAAAGCCTGTACTGTGTGGTGCAGGGGATGGGAGGAGTTATGCATGATGGATGTTAGTTTTACCAGCATCCTTCTGTCCGCCAACCTCCTCAATGGAATCCAGAGAGCAGTCTAGCTCTTAAACCAGCTTGTTGAGTCTCTTTCTGTCCCTGACCGTGCAGGGGCAGTGTGTGAGGCCGTCTATGACCTCTCCATGAGGACTACAGAGGATGTCCCAGAAACCTGATCCTAACCTGTTTTTCAAACACTCCTTAAAACTCACTTTTATTTGCAGTCCTTTAGCAACATCTCTGATTGATGTATTTGTTTTTGATTATGCATTTTTGCTGTTTATTATTTTATTGTGTATGTGTGATTTATTTGGTTTCATCTCTTCTGTTTTACTGTAAAGCACCTTGTAACCTAGGTTTAGAAAGGTGCTATATAAATAGAATTTGCTTGCTTGCTTATTTCTTTGAGAAGCTGTTTTTCTTGCTGGCATCTCTCCTTAATGTACCTGAGGGGAGAGGCATGTTGGTGATTCTCTCTGCTGTCCTCAGTCTTTTGCAGGGTCTTGTGTTTAGTTGCATTACACTTTCCATACTGTGTATACTGAGGTTTATCTTGCAGAGTTAGTTATAGATAGTAACTGATGTATTATTTTGTTTTCTTCTTGAAGGTGAATCAGCGCAACGTCCCTGGGATCGATAATGCTTATTTGGCCATGGACACTGAGGAAGGAGTTGAGGTGGTGTGGAATGAGGTCATGTTCTCAGAAAGGAAAAATTTCAAGCTACAGGAGGTAGGTGCAAAATGAGGCCAGTGTAGGAAGATGTGTCTGACATGTTAGTACAGTGCAATATCTTGGCACATAAGACAGTTATCATTGTGAGGATGATAGCAGCAAGAGGACAACATTTATATCAGTGACAATTTAAATGTCTTAACAAGGTGTTGAACATTGCAATTTTGAGTGCCAGGCTGCTTTCATGGAAGCCTACTGGCTCTCACCTCTTTGGCTTTAAGCTCATTAAGAAGTGGCTGAACTTGTTGCAGGAAGTAGCAAAGTAACACACTGTACCTGGCTGGATGCAAAAAAAAGTTCAGAAATTTTAATGGGAGATTCTGAATATGTATGTTTGTTTGTTTGTTTGTTTGTTTGAAATTAAATGAATAATTGCTGATAATGGAGTAAAGAGAAAGATCCAGAATTGATTTACACTCATTTGTGGAATTTGCATTTGACATGGCACATGGACATTGAGTGCAACAGCTAAGCTTCTGCAACAAGCTGGATTCTGTTTTAAATAACTGAAAATAAGAACATGTTTATTTAATGCTATTGCATCATCTAGGCTCTGGTGTGCTTTAAATTTATTGCTATAATGTTAATGTGGAACAGAGTAAGCTCCCAAATATTAGGGTGAAGGCTGTAGCCTCATAGTCCTAATGTATTTAGCACCACTCATGCTTGACATTTATAACTGGGACTTGCAAATAAATGTGTTGTTCATACGTTAATTATTGGTCTCTAGAAACACACAGCATATAATATTTTTGTCTCTGAGTTGCTCCCTTAAAGCTACAGTATGTAACTTAAGCCAACACTAGCATGAAATGCCTAATCAATCCACTCTCCTCCACCCAGCACCCCCTCCCTCTCCACTGTTCTACTATAGTCTGCTATGCTCTGCCATGCTCTGCCCAGCTCTTCACATATTTGATGTTATGAAATTAAAGAAATGACAGTGCAACAAATTTCTGATCAAACAGAAATAACTGAAAATCTCTGCTTGGTTATAGAGGCCAGTCCTGCTCAAAACCTTTTAGAAGCTAATATCTCTGCACTGCTGTTAGTGCTGTTCAATGAGTCTGGGTCACAGGGGGCTTCAATAGCACCTCTCCACATTAAGACAAGTTTTTGAGCAGATTTATACAACATATATATTTGAAAAAAGTTGCATAGTGTGGCTTTAATGTGGAAATTACTCAAACATGCTGGTAATTAAGGAACTTTTTTTTTTTTTCTCATTCTCGGACCACCTCTCCCCACATTGACATGCCGGGTCTGCCGTCAAGTGGCATTCTGGGACCTCATCATTTACAAATTATGCACTGCAGCTAAGCAATGAAAATTAATGTTGTCAAAACACAATGAGTACACATCTGACAACAAAGACATAAATCATAGCACCAGTTTTATTAGCAGTTATACAGTATGCTGCAACTGAAAAAAGTGATGAGTCATATCTTCAATTTTGTTTTGCAGGAAAAAGTCAAGGCAGTGTTTGACAATTTGATCCAGCTGGAGCACTTGAACATTGTGAAATTCCACAAATACTGGGCCGACGTCAAAGAGAACAGAGCCAGGGTAAGACATCGGCTCAGAAATCTCCTGTTCATCAAACCACAGAAAGAGGAGTTTAATGGTTTTAATGCTTTTCTGCTTCTGTTGTTTTTTTCTGCAGGTCATTTTCATCACAGAATACATGTCCTCAGGGAGTCTCAAACAGTTTTTGAAAAAGACAAAGAAAAACCACAAGACAATGAATGAAAAGGTGTGAAAGCTCTGCTGTAACTTACCAAAAGATGTTCAAATGCAGTTCACTGACGGTTGCGCTGAGAAGTCAGAAATAGTTGTTTAGCCCGTTTATGTTATTTGAACTGGTTTTACATGAACTTTTATTTTCTTATTTTATTTTCTTTCTTTTTTTTTGATGACCTATTTCTTTTCTAACAGGCCTGGAAGCGCTGGTGCACACAAATACTGTCTGCACTCAGGTTAGTCTAACAAAAAAAGTTGATTTATGCTGCTTAGCTTTTATAAGTTATGAGAGACACAATTATAGTCTTTTTTTTTTTTTTTACTGCAGCTGCATTTTTGAAAACCAGCTGCTGCAGTCAAATAAGTTTCTTGTGCCTGGTTTGCATTTTTTACTTCTTACCCTTCTCCTCTTGTTCCTAGCTACCTGCATTCCTGTGAACCTCCCATCATCCATGGCAATCTGACCTGTGACACCATCTTCATTCAGCACAACGGCCTCATCAAGATTGGCTCAGGTAGGCCTCAGACCATTCCAAGCAAGAGAATTTGAACGCTACATTGTGAAGCCAGTGACGTGGGAAAATAGAGAGTTGTCGGTATACTGACACCTGAAGCTCCTACGAAAAAAAAAAAACCAAGGTCTTTGTCAGACAAACATCTATATGAACAAAAGTATATATCCACAGCTCCACCTACAATTAGGAGAGCATGTGATTCCCACTGACCATACATGTTTTCTATACTGCTGTTTGCCTTTACTGTTAGCCTTATCTCTAGCATTAGTGTTAGTAATCAAGTCTTTTCCCACTAATGTAGTTGCTCCAGACACCATCAACAACCATGTGAAAACCTGCCGGGAAGAGCAGAAGAGCCTTCACTTTTTTGCTCCAGAATATGGAGGTAAAATCCTGCCTGTTTGACACATTTGTGGTATGTGCGGTGTTGTTATTGCGATTCTGATGAGCTTTTGCCTGCTTTCAGCTGTTGCCAGTGTCACCACAGCCGTGGATATCTATTCCTTTGGAATGTGCGCCTTAGAGGTGAGAGGAAACCATGTGGCTGTTCAGTCACATACTGGCAAATACAGTCACTTATTCCTTTGTTTGTGGTTATTCACCCAACATAATAAGAGTACCCAGTTTCCATGAATACAAGCTTCACAGAATACTTGATTTGGTAATGCACTGATGGTGTGTTTATATAGACATGCTTAATGCTGTTTTCTATTTGGAAATTCTGGGTTTGCTAGCTTTTTTTTTTTTTGCAGTCAGAAATGGAAATCGATATGTGGAAGTGCTTTTTTTGTTCCTTGGTCTGCAGTGATGACCTGAAATGTCTTGAAAATGTGTTATGTAACACTGGAGCACCTAATATTGATTTAAATGTTGCATTAGAGAGTTTATGAATCACTTCTAATCCACACTTTGGCCTCCCACTTCCTTAGATGGCTGTGTTGGAAATCCAGAGTAATGGAGATTCATCTTATGTGTCCCAAGAAGCCATAAACAGTGCCATTCAGTCCTTAGAGGACCCACTGCAGCGGGTGAGTGGAGAAGAACAATGTATTTAAAATCTGTAATGGCCATCTGGGAGAGAGATCCACAACATAGTTTTTAAAAAAATATATATTTTCAGGAATTTATCCAGAAGTGTCTGGAGGTAGATCCCAGTAAACGACCCACAGCCAAGGAACTGTTGTTTCACCAGGCCTTATTTGAGGTGCCCTTACTCAAGTTGCTGGCTGCACACTGCATTGTGAGCCACCAGCGTGAGTGAAAATACACACACATACACAAGCACACATGCTTTATCTAAACAAATGCTTTTGTCGGTTTTCAATATTGCGCTTCCTCTTGCTTTTTTTTCCAAGATCACCAACCCTACCTTTAAATCTGTTAGAAGGCCAGGCAGTGGACAGTCACAAAAGCATGCATTACCATAAAATGTGTTTGTAAGCTCGGAGACGTAATTGTGTATTTCTGAGTGCAGTGCTTTCTGTTCACCTGTAGATATGATTCCAGAAAATGCTTTAGAGGAGATGACAAAGAACATGGACCCTAACTTGGTGATTGTTGAGGGCAAGGATGAATTTCAGATGAAGTAAGTACATCAAAATTAGAGAATGGTCCATGAAAACCAAAATCTTCAGTGCTCTTCTGTCTGCAGTTATAATGTAACATTTTTACTGTCGTGTCCTGTACTGCAGCTTTTGTAAGTTAAAATAATGTTTTTGAACCTGTCTGAACTTCTGGTGGAAGCTAAATGAAAAGTTACCCACTATGACTAGCACTGTCTTTTTTTTTTTTTTTTTTATTTTGTTGAAGATTTATTTATCCAGTTTTTCTTTGCCTCAGGCTCTCCCAGTTTCCTGCCCTTGAGCTGGACAAGTTCCTGGAAGATGTGAGGTACGAAAACCTTAACACTGGGATCATACTCGGAGACCAGTTAGTTGATTTGAATGCATGGACTGGTGTTAGCTTGAGGTGGGGAAGTTAAAATGAGAATTGCTCACTCTGTACTGTAACAACAGCTTGAGTTAAAAATGCGAACTAGTTATTGTATTGCAGCTAAATGTATGCAAAGTACATAAAATGTGAAGTGGGGCATATTAGGGCTCAGGAAAACCTTTGTTTTAAAATAGACTCCAGTGTTTGCTGCCTTTTCTCTCCATATCAGGAATGGGATCTACCCTTTGACAGCGTTTGGGATGTCCTCTCAACAACAACCTCAACAGGAGGCAGTGAAGTCACCCATAGTGCCCCCCTCAGTCAAAACCCCGACTCCTGAACCTGCAGAACTGGAGACCAGGAAGGTAAGAACTGATAGTGGACCTTGGTCAGTTTAAGTTAGCAAATCCTCTGTGCTTTGTTTTCACAGTGTAAAATTGGAGCACCTCTTGTGACTGTGTTGGAACATATTTAGAATACTGAAAAAGAAAACTCCTGATCATACAGATCTCTAAACAGATCATATATTTGAAAACACATCCATGTCTTCTGCAAGTAAAGAGAAAAACAAAAGCCTCAGAAATGGGAAGAAAAGTTGTCTGTGTTGAATCTTTCTATGAAGGAAAAACTGCAAAACCACAAGTAATTTTAGAACTAAAGGATTTGTGTTCACTGAATTGTTTGATCAGTTTGCATGGTTGTTTTCCCACTTATAACTCCACAGGTCCTTCAGATGCAGTGTAACATTGAGCCTGTTGATGAGGGTACCAAGCACCATGTAAGTCTCATGAGTAATGAAGTCATCTTTGTGGTTCCAAGTATTGTGTATTGTATGTAATAAGTGCTTTATTTTGAGGGCCTTTGAATTGACTTTTCTCTTTTTAGTTGACCTTGCTGTTGAAACTTGAGGATAAACTGAACAGGCACTTGAGCTGTGACTTGTTACCAAGTAAGTATCTTTGACTTCAACATTAATAAGCCTGGCATTTGCACACATTTACTAAATTTGGTAATCACTGTTATGTTAACATTTGAAAACCTGTGTAGTAGGTGAACTGCTGTCAGTGCAGTGTTAGTCACGCTGTGGAGGCTTCACACAAACCAAAGACTGGCTTTTTACATTTGTGTTTCTCACTAAAAGCCTCATCTACATGAATCGATAAAGCCTAAGAATACAGTGTGTGCATTTTCTGCCTCATCTCTGCATCTTTATTGTTCAACATCAAGTTTGTAGTTTTCCTCTGCTACTGCTTTTGGTGAATGAATACATTCACCACACATTAGCATGTGTTACCGCATTCTGCTGTGTGTAGACATGTACAGTTGTAAGACACAGTAATGGCATTGTTTAGAAATTTGTTTGTTGATATTTGTGACTGGTGAAGATCAGATTACATTTCATGACCAATTTATCTAGAAAATCAGGAAATTGCAAACAATGCCATTACTTTTTCTTGTGACTGCAGATCATATTACCACATTACATACTGTAATTTCTGGACTATAAACCGCACCCACTAGCGGCTTATAGCCCGGAAAATACGGTAGACATGGTTTTAGAGGCTGTTTATCAAAGCTCCACTAATGGTCTAAACTTCACTCTGGTACCTGTAATCTCTTTGAGCAACGCAATCAAATGCCTTCAAAGACCATTATTTGATAGTTTTCACATTGACGTGGTGTAGATTTAACACCTCATTATCCTGGCACCATTCCAAGCTTTCTGACTGCTTTGTGTGTTGTCCAGATGAGAGTGTGCAGGAGCTGGCTGTGGAACTTGTTCAGCTGGGATTTATCTGTGAGGTAAGTAGAGTTCATCATCATGACCCTGCTGACCTCAACACTCTAGCTATTATTAATAGAACCGCAGCATCCTAACTTTGGGGTTTTACTGCCAAAGATGATTCTTTAACCTCGCGCTCCATCTTTTCCAGGGTGATCAACCACGGCTTGCATCTGTTCTTGAAGAGGCCTTCTCAAAGTTCTACAGCCGTAATGGTTCTCTCAATCCGGTGACAGTTTCCTCATAGCAGAGGACTCACCAGGGCTTCTTTCAGTCCTCCTCATGCTCTACTGCAGGACTAGTTTTATGCTCTACTTGTGAGGTGCAGGAAAGCTTTGCAAGGACAGAGGAGGAAGCCATGGTCTGATTTACAGATCCTGCAGCCTGTCCTTGTAAGTTCTGGTGGGAAAAGCTGCCACTTAGTGGTTGTTGCTTTCTATCCTTTTTCCCCTCCCACCCAATACAGCCATTTGCTTCTCTTTTCTAAAGGAAGTCCCATTTACAACTTAAAGGAAAATACTAATGTTTTCACTTTTTTGACTTGCTTCCTTCATTTCTAAGTCATGTAGAAGTGGTAGACGTAAGCCAAGTAAAACCAGACAACAGCAGTATTTTCCTTAATTCAGTATTAAAATTGTATTTTAAACATTTTTTTACTCAAAACTCTTGTCTGTATGAAAAACATTGTCCCGGCCTACTGAAGTGCACGTGTCATGGTGTTGTAAGGTTAAGTCTGGTTGTCTGGTCCTTTCTGAACTTTGTCTTGAGAGGTGAGTGAAGCATTGTCCCTCCTTGTATTGGTTTCAAAGACTGCATCGAGCTTGCAGTGCAACAGATAACATCACTTGTAATTATAGCAGTGTAGTCATGCGGCTGTGACACAATCTGAAGAGTTACCGATAAAATATCAGACATCTAATTATTTCTGTACCTCTTCTCGAGTGTGTACTGTACTTTTCTTTCAGCGTCATGGCCGGTGGTTGGTTGAATGTATGCCTTTATATGCTCTCTATCCTTAAATTAAGTTGTTTTATATGGAAAGGGGTGTAAACTGTGATCAACTACTAGCTTCTGTTTTCAAGTAGCCCATTGCAGCCCTTATCTGTTAGTCAATAAATTGTATTTAGGTGGTGTTTTACACAGGTTGGTTTAGATCCATGGACAGATATTTTGTTTAAGCACATGATCAAATGGAAATGATATGCAACAAGCTTGGTCTGGAGTTGGTTCAGCTCTCACTGTAATGATGATGTGGATAGATTGTAGAGAAAATGTCAGCATTTAGATTTTGTGGCTCAGTCTTTTGGGGGGGCTGGGGCTGTCTGGGTGATGCCAGAGCTGCAATGTGTGCTCACCTCTTATAACTTCAGTTACTGGCTCAGAACACTCCATTTGAGCTCTTGGCTAGTTTGCACTACTGTACACTCACTGATCCAGTCTTGTCTTCTCTATGCTGCGACTTCCTTCTGTTAGGGTCTGTAGATGGTGCAAAATTCAAGTGTGGGGCTGCCTGGCATGCTTGTTACCATCTTGTACACTGTATGCTGGACCACTGTGCTCTGTTTCTGCTACATTTACTGCATCTACCCCCTTTTTCACTTCCTGAAATTAAAAAAAAAAAATTCACATCAGTACTTTGAGTACCTTTTGCATAACTACATTTATCCTTTGGTTATTGTATAAATACAAAGGCCTGTGGAAGTATACAGATGTTAACAGGTCAAATTGGGCCTCACTGGTAAAATGCATTGTGTTTTCTACCCCCCCTCACACTGCAGCTATAATTCATTATATGAAATGTGCCAATCCACACTGAATCCATAAAACCTTTTTTTGTTTGTGCTTCATCTTTATTCACTCTGCTGCATTTAGTGAAGCCTAATTTCCACAGTCAGCTGTTTTAAATCACACAAATCCTGTTTTCTGTTTCTACTAGTATCTGTTCAGGCTACTTCAATTTCAATTTGTCTCTCTGTAATGAGCTGGGGAAAATCAAACCAGTACATCCATAGGCTACTTAAAAGTGATTTCTTCCTGATACTCAAACTATGTTTGTCCAGTACATATGTCTTGTTGGTCAGCCTGGAGTAGAATCTCTGTCCCGCCGCTGTCCGGCAGACAGGTGTTCTGATGAGTGTCTTGCTTTTATTGTGTTTTAACAGTAAGTGACTTATTGCAATCAAGCTATAGCACGTATTTTAATATGTAATGTATGCAGGTGACTGATATTTGCTGTCTTTTGAAACATTCTATTTCCCTGCAGTTGTCACCGTTCTTACAGCCTGCAGTCTGGTACAGAAATAAATTGTCTCCTAAGATTTTCACCTAAAATTTAAAAAAAGATAAAATGCCTCAGTAACTTTAGGTGCATCTACAGTATGGAGAACAAAATGAGGCAATTAGAAGAAACTTGTTTCAAATACTTAAAATATTTTTTCTTTGTGAATTACTAGTGAATTTCATGTTTTTGGGAATCTAAAATGTATTCAAATCAAAGCTGGAAATATTGCTCGAGTTAGGCTGTGACAACAGGTTGTGAGTACAGTTTTGGTAGTTTCATCTTTAAACCTGGAACCTGAAGTTAGAACAAAGCCTTAAATAATGTACACAAAAACACAAAGGAGATTAAATGCAATTGTTTATACAAAAACGCCATCCTGGTGTATCAGGAGTTGTGATCTCTACCCTCAGAGCATCACTGTTGAATTGACGATTCAAAATATTACGAAACTGTAGCCCTTGTACAAGTAGATTCATGTACATAATTAAAGTCACAATATGTGCTCAAATAAGTGGAATTAAACACGTTTCATGCTGACAAAAACACATTGCCGTACAAAATTACAGCAGTATAATAAAAGTATCTACAGCAAGGCTAAAAAAAAAGTTTTAATATGTAAAACACCCTATAAAAACACTAAATAAAAAGCTACCAAAATGGTGACATCCAGTTCGTGAGTGTTTTTCAGCGGCATGACTACTTAATTCTGTACATGGCAAGTTTAAAAAAAAAAAAAAAAAAAACAACAAAAAAAGTAAAAAGCCCTTCAATTAACACACATTTTTTTTTTTTTTTTTTTTTTTTTTTTACATTAAATCTGTTTTACTTCCCAGTTTGGAAGTAATATATAGGCACAGTAATTAAATCCATGAACATGTTTGTTCAACACTATTCCTTGTTATTCACAACTCCACTTCAAGTCATGAACAAAGCTGCCAAACAAAGTAGCAACCAGTTTGCTTTTCCAAACATTAGCCATTGGGGAGCAGAGAGCAGCCAAATGTCAAAATGTTGCTATTAGCCGTCAGTGGAAGCAATGAGATAATCACTGCTCACACTCGGCTCCTTTTACTGCATCTCGTCAACTTTTTCAGGTTAGTCTGACAAAAACCAAACCCTCAGCCTGCAGCCTAGATGTCCCATATAAAGACACCTGTTAAACAGAAAAAGTCCAAGGGTATAAATTCAAAACACTATCATATAGATTTTTAAGTTTAAATTAATGAACTGTCGAGTTTTAGCACAACTCAGTTAATCGTAATCTGCTATTTACAGACACAGGCAAGAAAATCTTTTCATATTTGTCTTTAATTTAGAATATGCTAATGTCAGTAAATAATTACATTTACTCAATTGTTTACAGAGTATTGTTTGGACCTATTTGTATTTTATAAAATATTTTATTTTTTAAATTCAAATTGTCAATATTGTAGATCAATATAATTTTGTAATACTTAAAACAAAAATCATTAAAGTCCCTAAATCATGCACCTTTAGGTATAATACTTAGAATAAGTATTATATAATATATAAAATTATATAATAAATACTATGGAATGGTTAGTTTTACTTTCAAACCAGGAACTACATTGTACAGAGTTGTAAATAGGTGTTTTAAAGCTGCATTAGGTAACCTGTTACTCTGTCCTATGGAAGTGCATTGACTTCACCAAAGAGAACCAGCTGAAGGAGCTTACCTCGGAATTATAACTCTCATAATTACGTGTCAGGTGGTTGGAACGCTACAGAACCTACCTGAAAATCAGATTAACAAATTCTTTAGTAATTCTGTGAGCGTAGTTGTCAGCGCATCCAGTGATGCATAGCAAACGTGAACTGTTAAATGGCTGAATCAGTCCCAAAATGTAAACAAATATAGGTGCTGCCTGTAAGTCACTACATGTACCAGGCTCTTAAAATTTCTTCAGTATTAGGTAATAGCACATGACAAAAATGAACAGTTAATAGTTAATTCGGCATACCTAATGTTCCAAAATGTAAACAAATATAAGCTAAAACATTGCCCAAGTGGGCTGCCACAGTAACTTGTATCTATGACAACAGACTTAGTTTCTTGTAAAAGTGTGATCAGTTCATGATTTACTTTTTGACATTTTCCAAAATACTTTGCAAAAAAAAAAAAGATAAAATTGATATTTAAGCTCATTCATAGCCTCTAAGCTCTAGACAGTTAAATCAGGTAGCCTTTAAATCCTGTCTTTTTAAACAGCAACCATAACCTAGTCTATTACAAGATCCTGATTTCCAGATCTCATATTTATAACAAAGCATTAAACATTAATAGACATGATTTGTGTGAACAGATAAACTTTGACAAGAAACAGGAAGTAGGCTATAGGCTACATAGTGTTGCGATGAATACAGCGGGTTACAATGTGGGTGCCATTTTTAGCCTAAGCTATACTTGTTTCTATGTCTTGGAGCACTAAGCAGGCTGAATCGGCTAGCAGCGGTTCATTTTACTACCTACTGTTCTATGTGCCATCAGAACTACATAGATAGCCTACTGGGGAAAAAAAACACCCAAGTGCTTTTCATGCAGGTTCTGAAACTTTCTAGCTCCTGTTATGTCTATAGTGAGTTACACTGTAGGCAGCATCACTGAAGCCCATTTGTAGCCTATATTTGTTTATATGCAGAGTTAACTATTACTTTTGCTATGCACCATTGGATGCACTGACAACTATCACTTAATTACTTAGATACTAAAGAATTCTTTCAAACCTGATGATTTTCAGTTAAGTTCTGCAGTGTACCAACCCCCACATTATCTTGTAATTATGACAACCTGATCTCGTGAGATCTTTTCTCATAATTATGAGATGGTAAGTCATTACATAATTATGAGAGATCTTATAATTGTGATAGAAAGCTGTAATTACGCGTTAAGATCCTACATTTTTTTCCCCTTTGATGAATGCAATGCGCTTCTGTAGGGTCTGTTGAATATTTATCTACTTTAAAATTTGAGCTTAAATAACGAGAAATCATGTGACATGATTTCAAAATAAATTCATGCTTACTATTCTGAAATCTTCTGATTTTTGAGAAAGTCGGATCCATGAGCTCCAGCTTTGTTCAAAGCGTATGTGGTTGTTCAGGAAACATTATTTTATCCAAACCAGCATCAGATTTTCATTAATTAGATTTGCAGTGTCTGAACTATTTGTGCTTTTCCCTGTTGCATACTAATCAGTTGGTTTTGCTGTTGGGCCGAGTGTGTGACTTTACATCAAAATTGTGCCTACAGCAGCTCTACATATCAGGTATCTTATTTTGGAGTGAAACTCTTCAACTCTTGCAGGTGGAAACAGGAAATATACAGAATGGCGAAGTTAGCACCATTAGTGCAGCTAAAGGCATTCAATTTGTGGAGGCTCGCTATGATTCCACTCACTGTTGGAAGCAGATGACGTTGTGGTGTCAGTTTGATCCATTAAAGTCCTCCCTCTCCTTGTTTATGGTGGAGGTGTGTGATGAGGAGGTCCCAGGACTCTGAACATCTGACATCCTTTATTTCTTTAGACACTGGTACATCAGTGCTCGTGGATTCAGCATATAGCGCTCAGAGTTGAGCAGCTTGGTGAGATACTGTGGCACTGGGGGCCGAGGAGCCATGTAAGACACACTGGGGCTGACGGCCATCACCTCCGCAATCTTCTGCTTCATTTCACTTATCTCCTGATCCTGCTTCATCACTTTATCTGTAGAACAGAAATGAATTTTATTCTATTATGCAACACATCCTAACATTTCTAGTTACCAACACAAAAATAAACCCCACCCTCAAATAAAAGCCCTGTCACAAATGTTGAAGTCCCCTTAATGACTGAAAATCAAGAAAAGGCTAATGTTCATATATTCTGAACTAGAAAGAAAACAAATGAAACTGTTTTGTATATTTTGTTCTGACGAAAAACCTTCACACAAAAATGTATAAACAGGAAATCTGGTTATAGAGACATGGGGCACAATCTATAAAGACTGAACCAAGAAATATAGGGAAAACGAATTACATGACCTGACTGTCCAGGAGAAGAGCTAAAATGTAAAGCATTGCAAGGCCACTTGGTCGTGCTATTGGACCCAGATATCCACCCAGAAGTCATCACTTATTCTTTAGCACAACTTAATCTAACTAACTAACTAACCCGGTGTTATTATTTTAGATTTCCTAACAGACCAATGTGCCCAAAAAGATGCATGGAAGCTGGAAAAGTCCAGCAGCATAAAGTACATAGATTTTAAAATTTAGTTGCATGCTGAGAAAAAAACTAATATGAATAAAAGAAAATGTGAACCTTGAGCGATTTCCAGCTGTCTACGGGCGTCTCCCAGAGCTGAGAACAGGTCCAGTTTGATGCGGGTCTCAGCACTCAGGTTGTACTCCAGATGCTGAGCTTTCTCCTGCATAGCTGACAGGGTGGACAGCAGCATGTCTGTCTCTTTCTCCATGCTGCGGTACTTTGCCAAAGCCTGAAACCAGAAACACATTATCAGTGAGAGAACATCAACCTGGCAGTTTTAATTCCTGCAGTAACCACCAGAGGGCTTTGGTTTCCTAAGTACTTTATGCATTTTAAAATATTCAGTGAGTGCTCCACATTGTTTCTTTAACTGTTTTGGAAATGGGGTTAGTTTAATTCACTTAGGGAACCAATGCACCATAAAAACATTTTTCACACACTGATGATGAACTGGCCAGCCATCCAAAAAACATGAAAGCTGCACATTACTATACAGATATTCTAAAGGATGATTTGGTGTTAACATTAACATGTTTTCACGGTTTGAAGGAGGCAACCTGCACCTACAAACATTTTATTAAAGCAGTGCAATGTTTTTATGAAAGCCCTGGCTTCTGTTTCCGCATGCTTCATGGAGAGTGTGCCACTAAAATGAAGTCAAACCCCACACAGTGCAACCATGTACGCACCTGATGTCAGACAAAAACAACCGTACAGTAGTGCTGCATACCGATGTGATGACACAGTGCAATTTGTTGACTGCAGGCCAAATTAAAAAATGCAACATTTCTTCAATCAAAACTATTTTGTTTTCTAATAAATTCCACAAGCAAAAATAATTACAGACAAAAAAAAACAAAGACAATAACTCAAACAGTAAAGCTACTACATGACCAAACTAAAGACAACCAAGTACTGGACTCAGACACAGACTCATTCCCAAATAGAGGAAACGATACCTCAACATCATTCTCTAGATCTACCACACGACTCTCTTTCACTTGATACTCCAGCTGTAGTTGTTTGTACTCTGTCTCTAGATCTTTAACCCTTTTCCTTAACATTTGGGTTTCAGTGTGTTCCTGCCTGGTGTAGGAGATGGAGAAAATAACAGTTTTGAGTGGTAAGAGGTTCATTTGAAATGAAAACCAGGTCACACAGAAACAAACATGACATTATACAGTTTTAAAAACGGATGTATTTTTTTAAACTTTCTATGCACGTAATGAAATGGGAGGGAATACTCTATTGCAATCTTACAAATTTCAAGTGTGCTCCACTCATATCTGCACGTTCATTATGAAGCTACAGCCAGCAGCCAATTAACTGAGCTTAGCAGAAAGATTGCAATGAGGGCTAGCCGGCTAGCCTGGCTGTACAAAAGGAACAAAATCCACATACTAGCACCCCCAGCTTACATCTGTTACCTTAGGTTAAATGTTTCCCTGTGTTTCTAGTCTTTATGCTAAACTAAGCTAATCGCTAGCTGGCTCCAGCTTCATACTGAACATGCAGACAGAGTAGTACTGATTTCCTCTTCAGATTCTGGGCAAGAATAAGCAAGGTTTCTTATACATTAGCAGCAGAATGTAATTATACTCAGTATCATATAGATGCAGATCCAGCTTTACTTCTCAGGCACTAAGCCACTTCAGTAGCATGGAATTTAAAAGTCTGACAGGTGTGACGTACCTGTTTGTTAGACTCCGTGCTGTGTTGGCTGCCTCCTCTAGTTTCTGGACGTGAAGTTCGGCCAACTGTTTCTCAATAGAGAGTCTGGCATCCATCTCTGCTCTGGTCTTTTTCTCCAGCATAGCACTAGTCTGTTTGTCCCGCTGCTTGGTTTTAGTCAGACAGAGAATCCTGATGGAAAGACAATAAATTCACTTCACATAATGCCAAAAATAACAGAGTGGAAGAACATTTTTTTACTGTTGTACAACAAGAGAAACATAACATAAGCTTACAGAAAATGAGACAAAGACATGTACTCCTAATGCAAAGAACGTAACCAAGCAAGCTGCCAAACAAAAGTAATACATAATGTTGATCCAACTCCGCAGTGAAAGAAAGTATGTGTTAATTATTGTGAAATTATTTCAATGTTATAGTAGTTGACAGGATCTCAATTTCAACTTATGTTAATCACAGTATTTCAAAGTCAAATCAAGTTTTAGTAGACCAAAATAATAAATGTCCACAAAACTGACTAGCTGGTTAAATAATGGTTAGAGAATCAAATCTGCCTGTCATTTTCTTATTTGTTTATTAATTGAAATTATGAGCCACAATGGAGGAATCTTATGGGATAGCTTTTTGCCTAGCTTAAAAAAAAAAGTTCATCCTTTTGAGTACTGAAACATCTTAACAGCTGTCAAACCATAATGCTGGGTCCAGGCATAATGATTTCTAACACCAATTCTGCTTGTGTTTAACCCTCTTATGTTTTATTTATAGACTGGTGTCATTTGTTAAATAGCCCACTGGGGAAGTCAAAGAAGTGGATCGCTCACTTGCTCTGAAGCAGCATGTTGGACTGTCTGAGCAGAGAAACCTCTGGTCTCAGGCTCCTCTCATTGTTGGTCAGGTTACAGATGTGACTCCGCAGCTCCTGCTCACTCTGCCTACTTGCTTGCAGCTCACCTTTCAGCCTCCGCAGCTCCTGCTCCAGCCTGAAAGACAAGGAAGAGGAGTTTTTAGCACTGATTCCCCATCACAAGGCCAATTTCAAACTCAGTTGAACTGAATTATTTAGGACTTACTTTGTCATTTGCTCAGTGTGGTAACTCTGAGCTGCTGTGGTACTCTTCTCTGGCACGTCCCGGTTGGGGCTGACTGTTTTAGAGCTGGATCGCTGTTTCTTCTCAGTCCTCCCTGCAGGTGGCGAGGATGTGTTTGTGCTGCTTCTGCGAGCTTTTGGTGAGGAGTTTTTAGCCACCCGTGTGGTTTTGCATCCCTGTTCCTCTTGAGGTAGATGATCTGGGGTTGTAGAGGATTCAGGTCTTCCTGCCCCACTGTGGAAAAGATCTCTGGACTCACTGACACTGTATTTGGATGAAGATGGCCGCCGGTTTGCTTCCGTTGGCCTCACCTCCAGGGTTCCCTTCTCTGTCGCTCTGTCCTCACTGCAGATCTGGAGGCAGTCCACTGTGTGTACTTCTTCATGGGCCACTACAGTGCCATTCTGACACTGATATTGACTCAAATCAGGCTTTACCTTCCATTTTGAGTCTGCAAGTACAGGTAAAAACAGAAAGGGTACTGCCATCACTGATTTATATACACAATACCAGCCATCGTCTTCTTTTTTTCCCCAATAGTCTATTGAGTTTATGTTGCATTTTTCTGAGGTTAAATGCTGCTTTGTTGCCAAAAAAATTCACTTAAATTTTCATAATAATGCATTTAGAGTACTGTTTTTTTACATTTAAAATGATTGTTCTAAAGCCACTTGGAGTCTGGTAGGCCTTGTCCCACTGTACATTTTGTATAAACAGGAGTGGTTAGTATTAGAGGTGATCACATAAACAGAGAAACTTCAGTCTCAAATGATCTCAGGAGGGTGCATCACAAACACAAGAACAAGAAGGATAACTACAAACGAACACCTGCAGATTGTGTGAATGGAGGTTTGAAGTGCAAATGAATGGATGTCGCAGGTGCACACACTTACTGCTGCTACTATCTGTGCCAGTCTTGGGGTAAACCTGCAGGCCTGGTGGGAGCGAGTGCTGCAGGAGGTGCATGTGGAAATCGTTCTCACTCTGCACAGCTTTCTGTATGCGCAGCTTAAAGATGTTGGTGAAGTAACAGGTGGCATCAAACCCCAGATACACTACAGGATATCCAATACTGAATGTGAATGAACAAAAGAGAGAGAGTATATACATTATTAACACATCTTGACAGTTTTATAGTATTAATCGATAAATATATGGCTATTTGACTGTTTATTACATAGTAGCATAAAACTGAATTTACACCCTGCAATCTATGGTGCGTGAACAGGGAATGAATAAAGGCTTAATACTTTTTTTTGCTGCAGCTCAATAAATTTTATGCAGAAACTTAGAGAATGAATTTTAATTCTGCTGAAGGCAGAGTGGCTGATTTTGTTTTTCAAAATTACATACCAGTGTGCAGCAAACAGATGAGACAAATTGGCGTGAGAGGTTTTAAGGTCTTTGAGTCGAAGTGACGCCTCTGTGTACACAAGAAGAATCCACAGGAACACTGTCGATAAACAGATGCCCTTCTCTGAAAAGAAATATAAAGCCAGGTGGGAGTAGTGACATTTAATCAAATAAAATCACTGCAAATATAATTTTAAATAAACTAGAGTTAATTATACATCATACTTCATAAATGAGTGATTAATGTTGTTAGTGTTGGAATAAACTGCAGAAACCACACTCACCTGTGTGCCATATGTAATTGAATAATACATAGGTGCTGGCCACAAAAAACAGCCAGTGCAAAGGAACAAAAATTAAAAAAAAGATGTCAAGAGTAAAGGCAGCACAAACAAAAACAACACAAATAACCTGTAAACACAGAAAAGATTAATTCAGTAAAATGCACTGCATTTGTTCTGTGGGATTATTGTCATCTGGGCCACCACACACACACTGTGAAATCACACAGCGGGGTTCTCACCAGCCCGTGGCAGTGGAAAGTGGTGTATACACTCCCAAAGAAGAGCCAGCATGGCCATAGGTACTCCAGTCTAAATTCAAGGATGAAATCTGCCATCAGCACCAGTGCCCACATCATAACAAACTTCAGGAAGGTGTATGCACTGCAAACAGATGCAAAAATGACAAAAGCGCAATTATGGGTTTTCAAATATCAGCGAGAGGATTTATTCAGGTTGGACAAATGTGAAACATTTGTATTCAAGCCTGTAATTCCACCAAATGAATACATTTCTGATACAAAAAAGCCCCTTAAGCCATGGCATTTGTTATGGAAATATTTAAATAATAAAGTAAAGAAGGCAAGATCTGTTTTT